TTTTCATGTAATATTTATATTTTATTTCAGATTTACTTCAATTATCAAAAAATGATTTTAATTGTTTTAGCTTATACTTTGTGAGAAATTAATTATCATCATAGTGAAACCGTGCAGTGTTTCACACACACACAGAGGTCACAGTTGAGGTTGAGTGAGGTGAGACAGCTGGCTCTTTCAGTGTGCTATACCTTCTTTAGCGGGAGTGTTTTGTGGAGACACTGACTGAGAGAGTGTGGAAGCGTCGTCTGACGTGAGCTGCTCTTCATCTGCAGGAGTCAGTTGGTTAGTGAACAGACAGACAGACAGGTTAACATGCGAGGACACTGTCCCAGCTGTAAGACGCTCGCAGGACAGACAGTCTTGGCTGTGTGCATTCAAGTTAGTCCTGTGCAAGATGCACTGTATTGATTTTTAGCTATGAGGGGCCGAGTTATACCATTAGCATTGACTGGCTCATATATATATATGTGAGGAAATCTTAAAAGCAAGGAGGTATCATGCATCACAGTGGTCTTTATTTATTAGTTTACACCAGTCTGAAAGGTGAAACACTGTTTAAAAGTTTGGGGTTAGTAGGGATGTAACAATGCACCACTTGCTTTGTATCGCTGCTGTTCATAAGCGCCACCTACTGTCTCATTCAGCCCATCTGCTGTTTTTGTTCAGTGCGGATGTTTTATGTAGTAGAGTTTCACAAAGCTAATGTAGGGCCATTCTGTTTTGGCTTCAAATTTTGAAATTATACAATCTTATTTAAATTAAACACTGCTCATGTTGCATGTGTGCATCATCTCTGTTTGGATCGTGGTTAAAATGGAAAGAGCACAGACAAAGCCTTAATTCGTTCATATTAAGAGATTTCTTTTATTTGTGTAACTTACTTGTTTGATTTGGGGTTTGTTTTAAAATTTCAATTTAGTTTTGTTATATTTCAATTTCACAAAGAAACGTGCAGCAATAGCCTAATAAAACAACACCTTTTCATTTACTGTATAATGTCTTTAATCTCATTTTGTAAAAAAAAATAATAATAGAGAAAATCAAATCGTGAAATCAAAATCCTGAATCGATTCGCGAGTTGAGTGAATCGTTGCATCCCTAACGGTATTATATATACATATATACTCGAACTGTAGAGTACGGTGGAGGTGTGAGGGACTCGTGAGCGTGTTTTACCGTCTACTCCGAGCTGCTGCCGTTCTGCTCGTTTCTGGTAGTCCTGCAGCACTTTCTCGCTCAGCTCGCTGAAGGGGTTTGGAGGAAGTGGTCCCGTCTGCTCCTCGTCATCGCCCATGTACGGCTGCACGTGTGTGTGGGGGCAGAGCAGAGAACACAAAATAAGACACTCGAAGCGCACCTCAGTTATGAAATGAGTCACAACGCTGACAAAAACCACTCAAACACACAGACCATCAGATGTGTGGATCACTGTGTGCATTCAAAAGCAAGACAAGTCACAAATCCTCAAATATTAAAACGCAAAATATGACGTGAGAACACCGCAAATCCAAAACTACAAGATTTCGATGTAACAAGGAGTCATGCAGATATTTCAAAAATGAAAACCGTGACACAGCGACACATAAAACTCCCTGGGATTTTACCTGGACTGGCGACTGTCTCTTAAAAAGAAAAACAGAGCTTCATAAGACCCTGCTTTGAATAGGGATGGGCGGATCGATCCCGAAAGGATCAATCCTCACATCAAAATATCGATTCTAAAGTGCATTTTTAACCATTAATTTTATTTATTTATCAAGGAATTCAGTGCATAAAATAAGCTTGTAAGTGGAAAAATAGACTATATTAGCGAATAATTGTGTTGGATAGAACCATTTCTGTTGCTCATCGGAACACACGCAAATGCTGAAAGACAGAACCAATCAATCACAGACAGCGTTCGCTGCTGACGCATGGCTCACAGTGCTTGTTCAAATAGGGCTGCGTTTCCCAAAAGCATCAGAAGCTTAAGTAGATCTTAAGAAACCATTGCCACATTATTACATACATTACATAACATTGTTACTATATATAAAATTAATTCTGAAAATTGAAGGACGGTTTCCACACAAATATGAAGCAGCAATAATAATAAATGTTTCTTGAACAGCAAATGATATTAGAATGATTTCTGAAGGATCATGTGACACTTAAGACTGGAGTAATGATGCTGAAAATTCAGCTTTGATCACAGATGCATTTTAAAATATATTAAAATAGAAAATAGTTATTTTTAATTGTTATATTTCACAATATTGCTGCTTTTACGTTTTTTATTTTTATTTTATTTTATTCTTTAAATAAGTGCAGCCTTGGTGAGCATGAGACTTAAAAAAAATTACAAAATCTTACTGACCCCAAACTTTTGTGTACATGAAATATTAATTTTAAATTGGCTAGTTTTTGCAAGTAAACTTATTTAAACTGGTTGTTAAAAGTTCAAATGGATTGTGTTCTGTTCTGTAATTGCTGTTAATAAATCTGTCAGAAAGAAATATGCTAAAGTTTAGCCTGACAGCCTTTTTTACAAAAATTAACCATGGTTTTATTACAGTAACCACAGTTTACCACAGTATTTGTACTAAAACTGCAGTAACCACACATTTACCATGGCAATAATAATAATACATTTTAGTATGTATTTAACACCATGTTTATTTTTCATGAGGTACCCTTAAAGGTGCACCTTTGTAACTTATCTACCCTTATGCATGCATACTTGTATGGTACTAATATGCTCCCTTTTAGGGGTATAGTTGCACCTTTGAGGTTACTGCCCCAGTAAAGGGCTAAAATACAATTATAGGATATTTTATTTCTGACAGTGTAAACAAAAAAGGCCTATGAAATTTTTAAAAACATGGCTTTAAAATCTAATATTAAGTGAGTATAATTACTGATTATATTCTTTTAATAATTTAAAAGATCAGTTTAGTTTAGAGGTATCGGTATCGATATCGACGATCCTGGGCTTGAAAATATCGGTATCGGATCGAAAATAAAATAAGAGGTATGGCTCATCCCTAGCTTTGAAACATGAGGCCTTTTCCTCCTCCTAAACTGATGCTCATTTCACTACGGTTCAACTGTCTCTGACAGGATCTGGTGCCACCTAGTGACACGGAGGTCTGTGTTTATGGTAATGTCACTCTGACACTCACCGGCGGTCTTTCCACCACAATCCCTGCCAGCCGCTGTGACTGCGGCCCTGCTGTCATCATGTCAAACCGGTTCTGCTCACGAATCTGAAAAGATCACAAGAAAGCTCTTTAAGACTCAGAAACATCTATGAAATGGTGGATAAGAGTCCTGATGGACTCTTTTAACAGACTGCGAACCTGTGTTTCCACAGTTATTAGCGTTGTAAAGTTTTTACAGTTTAATTTTTTTAAAAGAAGTAATGTTCATTCAATTTCGGTCATTTACTCATCCTCAAGTTTTTACAAACCTGTATGAGTTTCTTTCGTTTGGTGAACATAAAAAATAATAAAAAAAAGATATTTTGAAGAATTTTGGCAACCAAACAGTTGACGGTAGACATTGACTTCCATAGTATAGAAAAAAACTATGGACGGGAGTCAATGGCTACCGTCAGCTGTTTGGTTATTAACATTCTTCCAAATATCTGTTGTGTTCAACAGAAGAAAGAAACTGATGTTTTGAAATGGCATGAATAAGTAATAATAATCTCATTATATTTTTTTCTTTATTTGGAAAGTCACAGAAATGTTATTGTAGATTTTTTATTTTGCTTTTGGAGCAAGTGTGAATGCAAAAATGGTATTTGTCTATTTCTCACCTTATTTCTCCTCTCCAGAACGTCACTGGGGTTCGTGTTCAGAGGAACAAACTGGTTGGGATCTTCAATGCGGATCGGAGTCCCGCTGGTGTTTCCACCGTCATCGGACTTCATCCACTGCAGAGGAGGAGTTAGAGAAAGAGATTTAGTACAGAATTCAGGAAGATAAATACAGGCTGAGATTTCATTCAGAGTCGGTGTAAAAGTCTAGGGACTGCTGTTTTGAAAAAGTTTTTAAAAATTCTGTCAAACTCATTCCTACCAAGAACAAATTTCTGCCATGAAAACATATGCTCAAATGTCTAGTTTTGAGCTAGATTCAGACTTGGCTAATTCTGACATTTCATTCTTGGTGAATGAGCGGCACAGTTAGTACTAAAACATGCATGATGCTCGTGGTACATTCTCACTACATGAGGCCGTGAACACATGAACTTCATCTCCAGAGCTGCTCTGAGAGTCATTTCACCAATAAAACTATCATCATATATAAACAGAAAGTTCCTGTCAAAATAATAGTTAGGTTTATAACTTGTGACAGAAATATATTACTACTGTATAATAGATTATATTTCTCAAAATAAATAATATAACAATAAAATTATGAACACTATTTTATAATCACAATTTCTTCCCTTTGTTTTAATTTGAACAGAGAACCTCTGCAGTGCAGCAATTTGTTTGGCAAAGAACGGTTAACATTTTTATTTGACTACATTTTAAAAGATTAATTAAATTGTTAATTTTTTATGCCTTTAATTTGTATTGAGTCATAAATCCAGAAAATTAAAACAGACAAAGGATTTCTAACAAAATAAAACATTTTACAGGACTCAATTATTATAAAAAGCTCTACAATTTTAAAAAGTTTTATGAATGCAATTGAGAATTGAGTAGACATGTATTATGATTATTAAAATGTAATTAAACCATTTAAATGGAAATAAGGAAAATAAAACAAAACAGAATTTGAGATTTAAAAATTTTTATATTTGCATCTCTAAAGATGTAATAGTTGCTCAACTTTTCATGATTTCAATTAATTAGACATGCCTTTTTTTTACTTAAACGGAAAACACAGAATCTGGGAAAAATAAAACAATGTTACAAGGGCCCCAAAAATGTTTTTTTTTTTTTTTTTTTGATAATGTATTTTTTAAACTTTTAATAAATTGTTAAATGATGTAAGTTTCATGATTTCAATTAAATAGAAATGCATTTTTATCAACAAAATTGTATTTAAGCATTAAAATGGAATCCAGAATAATTAAAACAGGAAAAAAAAAATGGAATGCAGAATAATTTCATAGGGCCCTAAAAATGCAGCCAAAGCTGTAATAATAAAGCCTCGACCACTAGAGGTCAGGAGGGAACTGTGTTTGGCATCAGGCTTGAAGGCAGTGGCGGCCTCCAATCAACTGACAGAAGTTATGAGACTTCAAAAGTTTCTGTGATGACAAAAATATGAGTTCATTTCATCTGCCGTAAGGTACGCTCAGGAAATAACCACATACTTGCTCATCCACAAAATCCTGTCTGATAAGAAAGATTTACTACTTTTACAGCAATTCCCTTTTTTTCCCATTCAAAAACTGGATTGCACAAATCTCAGATGACCATAACAGAGATGAGCTGAGCCTCACCATGGTCTTGGTGCGTCCGTTCTCCTCGCTCGCCCCGTCCGACACGTTCACCTTCATGTAGCAGTTGGGTGAATTGAGCCAGCGTGTTTTCTCTCTCTGCTGTCGCTGCTGCAGTAACTTCAGAGGGAAGCGTGGAGCGTCATCGTCGTCGAACATGAACGCCGTCACTGTCGCAGGAATCTCCACTTCGCTCTTGTGCCGCGGCTTCTCCCGCACGATGGGGTGCCGGTACATGTAGCCTGTCCTGTAACCCTGAAAGGAAAACATAAATGTTTATAACATACATGAAAAATAGAAAAAAGTATGCAAAATAATTTTATACTTGAAACAGAAAAAAAAGTTTGCCAAAGAACAAAACCCATAAATACTATCTATGAACAAGAACTACAAATATGCACCAAACTATAAATAAATATATAAAAAACACAAAGATAAATACAAATATAATTAATAATGAACTAAATTAAATCTAACTATTGCTAATATTAAGATAAATGCACAAAATATTTAAAATAACATATAATTTTAATATATAGTACTAATAATGCTATTACAATTACAGTTAATAATAAAAATAAACCAATCAAATTCTAGAAAATATAAAGATGAGACCAATTTTTATATTTCATTGCTTTCGGAGATAAATTACTCAAAGGCCTTTTATGAATGAGCTTAAATATATAATAATAATAAATTTTTTATAAATTAATACATTTAATAAAAATGTATTATGCAGTTCATATATATACATATATATATATATATATATATAGAGAGAGAGAGATAGTCAGTCAATATTTAGTACTTGCACTTATGAAATATTAATTTTAAGCTTTCATAAAAGTGTAGCTACAAAAATTTAACTTACTAGAATGTTTTATTTCATTTATTTTAATGTATCATTAAAAATGTCAATAATACTATCAAATGTAATATTGCGTATGCATTAATATATACATTTTAAATCATTTATTAAATGCTACATATTTATAACTATATAATGATTTATAATGCATATATTCTTAATACATACACAATAATAAATTGAATAGTATTATTTAAATATTCAATAATACAAAAATGAAGTCAAATTAGTAACAATAAAAAAAAAAATTCATCATTTAATTGCTTCAATTCATATATATATATAAAATTAAATATTTAATAATAAAAATGAAAAACTAGTTAAATTTTAGTAACTATGAGGACGAGACCTATTCTTAAATGATTTAAATGCCTTTTATAAATGAGCTTAATGAATAATTCAACTGTGAATTATTCAACTGAATTGGTTTATATAATCAGCCGCTGCTTGGAAACTGACTTTGCAGAAAGAAATTGTCAACTACAAAAGGCGCTTTTTAAATCTGCGTTTCAAGCACATTATGTAACCAAACGCTGCAACCGTATTGGTTCACTGAGAGCTGGTGACGGAGGCTCACTGAGTGACACACCGTATCATTATCATCTTCCACATCACTCCATTCTTCTGCCGCGGCTGAGAAAACAGACTTTCCACATGCTTGCGTTCTTCCCTATCTCACACGGACAGAGAGAGAGAAAACAGCTGGAGAAAGAGACAGACAGAAAGAAAGAAGAGAGAAGAGGTTTGGCTCGCTCTCTTTACGTCTATCTCCGTTCGTCTGCCTAATAGGAGAGGAAGGAGGGCGGAAAAAGACTAAAAGACGAAGAAATAAGTGATTTTGCAGTCTCTCCACTGTGATTATTCCTCTCAAACACAGCTGGACTAGTAGTAAGTAGTCATTTAGCAGACGCTTTGGGCTGTTTTTGGCTCAATGGTTTGGTCTAAAGCGGAGTTCATATCCACTCGTCCGCTGTATCTGTCTCTCATTGGCAGCGAGTCTCACACAAGCACTTACCAGGTTGTCCAGCATTCTCATGAGCGACTCGAACTCCAGCTCTCCCAGCCTCCACTTGTGCTGAGAGCCCATGTTGACCCCGGCTTCTGCCACCCCCTGCGTCCGAGATCTGTACTTCTCCAGATCCAAGACGATCAGGTTCTCCACTCCTCCAGCGCACGAGAGCGCATTCACCTACAGAGAAATGTGCAGATATTTTACAGAAATGTAATGGTTTTATTGAAATTTACTGCCGTATCAGCTTACAGACACATAGTAAACAATACAAACTTATTATAAAATAAATACGAACATTTTATTAAAATTCAACTTAGAAAAAAGACTGTAGAATATGCTGATACAGTAGGATGCATGTCTTAGTGTAATACTACTACTAATTATTAAAATTGTATTTTTTAAGGAACATTTACACAAATTTTCCATGATTTAATTTTAGCACCAAACCTGCACAGCACTTTGCCTTAAAATTAAAGGGGTGGTTTAATTTACATTTAATTAAATTGTTCATGTTTTACACCTTCATTTGATTACCAGAAAAATTATAATACACAAGATGGAATTTCTGAAAAACAAAACAAAACTTTACATTTCACAGGGACTTATTATTGTAAAAAATAAAATTGATTTAAATTTAATTTGTTCAATTTTTTAATTGTTAAATTGCTTAAGTTTCATGATTTCAATTAATTAGGCATGCTTTTTGATTACTAAAATTGAATTTAACCATTAAAACAGAGCCGAGAAAAATGTAAACCAAGTAAAACAAAAAATTTAAAACAAGGGAAAAACTAAACAAAAAAACGTGTATAAAAAAAAAAATAAAAATGGAATTTGGAGGGAAAATGTTTTTCTGGGTCCGTCAAAATAAGCCCTTCAAAGTTTGTGCTTCATTTGTAATCATTGTCTCATCACATTAAAACTTGGGCAGACCAAAAACATGTTCTACAGACAAGTTAGTGCTACAATACTAACATGTTGGTTGCTCTTTGCCCTTCAATAAATGCCTGTGAGTCAGTCTAGTATGACCTATAAGATATACACAACTTGGTATAGTTATGTTTCAATGGACTACAGCCATCAGAATTACCCAAACAGCACCAGACTTTCTATTAGCCATGTGTACTTTTGTGTTTAAAAAGCATCACTAAAGTCCAATAAACTGTGAAAGTCTAAGAGAATTAAGAAAGTTTCACCTGTATTTCACAGGCAAACTGAGCGTTGTAAATGTAGTGAAAGGCCTCTTCAATGGTCTCGCCGAGAGCTACAACCCCATGATTCCTTAAAACCAACACCTGCAACACACACCACAAATACGTAATGTTCAAGCACATTTACAAACGGCATTTTTCACTTTCACTCTCAATGACATTAGCCATGTTTCCATCCAAAGTCACGAATTAAACTTATGTGCAAAATTGGAATATTGCATAAAACATTTGCGAATAAAGCACCGTTTCCATCCAGCGAGTTGAAGAGAACAAAATCGTCACTTCCTGGTTAACTTGCGCTAAACATTACGAAGAAAAATGTAATTTGCTGCAGTAGGAGAAAGCACTGTATATAATTTTTGTATACAATAAATTACGAGCTTCAGAGTGCAGAGACGAATCATGGTCATGTTATCTTATTTTCGGAGCCTGCTGTTTGGGAACGCAGTTCTGGGAGTTAATTATAACAAAGCATTCTGACGACTTAGCTCAAGAATTTTAGAACGATAAAACTAGCATTTCAGATGCTGTGCAATGAGATCGGTCCGTTGGTTGGTCCAGATTTATGTCACATTTCTTTTTTGATGCGCATTAAGGAATTTATTCAGTAAAAGTGTTTCCATCATAGTTTATGCACGTTTTCTCACCAGTTAAGAAATGTATCCAACTTATTTGAGCGTGTACGTTTTTTTTTGTGTGTGCATTTTTCGAATTTATGCTCATCTTGGTGTTTCCATCCAACTTTTTTTTTTATGCGATATTCCAAAATGCGCATAAAAATAGGTGGCTGGAAACATAGCTAATGACAAGCACAGGAGGTAGTTCACCTTCGCTGATGGTCCGAGGGCTTTCTGCAGCTCTATGCGCTCCTCTTGCTCGTCCAGACTGCCTTGGTAGTTGTAATAGGCAATGTCACCCAGGATCAGAGCCTCCTGAGAGATGGGCAGAAGGCCGCACTTCATAGACGACACCTGACATGACAGAAGAGATCAATGCAAGTCACGGTGATTCACAGTTATAATGTCAATTTCAGCTACATTTTACTTAGGAACCGTTGATAGAGCATGTGGAGCAGAAGCAGGTGTGACTGGACGGAGACTTACGGCAGCAGTGGCCGGTGTGCTTATGTGAATGACGCAGCGCACATCAGGCCTCACGGAGTAGATGGCAGCGTGAGGGCTGAAGCCAGCCGGGTCAATCTGCAGGTTGGTGGAGCCCTGATCGATCACGTCACCGAGAATATTCACCTTCACCTGGAGAACCAAAGAAACACAATGGAGTTTATCACTGAAGATGATTGTAAAAATGTAGGCTAAAGACATTGAACCCTCCTAAAACCCAAAAAACTGTGAGGCTACACAAGCTTTATTAAAGAAATTCATATTAGCACAGATACAGCATCTGATCGCTCTTTATTTCCACATCCTACACTATCTCTCATTTCCTATTAATCCTGACACTGAAGGAACCGTCATCTGAGATACACTGAGAACCGGTGGATGATTCAGTTAATGTTTTAAATAAGCCTCCAGTTCCTGGTATCGTCAACAGATGATGACCAATGGGGAAATACTCCCCAACCTCATACAGTTCATATTTATACACGGCACTGACATCACGTGACTGTTCTGACACAAAAACACACTCCCCATCTTTCTCATGCAATTCTTACTGCAGCGCTTACTAGCACATCCCCACAGGAAGTTGGTCCACTTCTGTTTCTGACATATCTGCTGCATTATGCCACCACACTAATGCTAATGGATTGAAACAAGATCTAGCTGTTCTCTCACGAGATATTGCATCTCATTTGGAGAGAGAGTTGTAATTTAAAGGTGGTTTTAGTTAATGATGTAATAAATGCTAAGAGTAGGGTACATCCCAGAGGAAAACTAAACTTATGTGTGGTTTGATTTCTGTTGACATCTTTCTTATAAAACAGTCCAGCTAAAACATGAATAGTCATCTTTATAAATAAAGCACATTCCTAGATTTTTATGGAGTGAAATAAACACTTTCAACAGGGCACATAAGAAGCATAAAAAGGCAAAAACAAAACTACAAAGTTGCATTTCCTGTTACATGAACATTTGGAACGGTTTACAGCAGTTACTCCACAGACATGAAATCTCATGCCACATTATGTAAGAGTTACAGTGATGCTTGCTTTAGCAAAACACTACTAATCAACATTGCTCATACCTGCGGTTAGGGAATTGAACACACTTCTTAAGGTGCGGCCACATGTACTGTTCTTTGGCAGGTTTTCATGGGTATAATCCAGTCGTTTCCATAGAAATCCATGGGATTGGGAACTTCCCCATGCATTTTTCTCAACAGCTTCAGGTTGGATTCACCATGTTGACCAACAGAAAGCTGCTTGGTTTGAAAGTGACGTCTGTGTGAGATGTGCTTCATATGTTGAAACATTACAGACATTATATAATGGACATTTTTAGCCTGCAAAACTTTGCTAATGTGCCCATACTTTTATTTTTCAGTAGTCTTAAACTTTGGTGCGTAACCCATCCTGCACAATGTGGGCTATGAACATTAATAATACCCCAAATTGTGTTTCTTTTTTTTTTATTGTGCATTGTAGGAAAGGCCCAAGTGATAGTAGTAAGTTGACAAAAAAAATCAAACTTATTGAAATATTAACTAAACTCACAAAAACATGGGAATGTTCACTGCATGAACAAACATGGAAACAACAATGACACACCCAAAGTCTTCCAGGTTTGAAATGTTTTTGTCCAGAACAATATGTAATCATGTAATCCATAAAAAGTAGCCTAACTGTAATCTGATTTAAAATATAATAATTACAAGTGCTTAATTTTTGGAATCTGATTACATAATCCAGATTACATGTAATCAGTTACTACCCAGCACTGCATATAAAATTCATACACTACATGGTTGAGTACATATCACATAAGTGCATAGTGTATAAATGCACAGTGCATAGTGCGTAATTTGGGATGCAGCTTATGCACTATATACTCAACGGTCTAGGAATTATGAATTATATATGGTTATTTTGCCATCCAACATCATTCTGATGGTGATCATTAAGTGCATCATCTAGGTATTTGAAGACACTTTTCGGGATTATTACTAATATGTAATATCACACTATTTATACCACAAAATGGCTTTGAAGAGTGCATAAGTAACCAAATTGGGACGCACCTATAGCAACTTGGCTCTTTGGACTACCCGCAACCCCCCTGCATCAAGGCACAGACATTTCTCTTCAAGAAGTGCTAAAATCTAGTGTTAATGTTATGTTGTTCGCTGTTAAGAGGGTTTAGTGAAATAATGAGTGTAGAAGGGAGAGTGTGAAAGTGAGTGATCGTGTAGAGGGTTAATAAAACTCTGACCCAGATTGCTGGCCTCATTCCAGCGGGCACCGTCCCCACGGCCACGCCCACAGAAGAGAACAGGAGCTCTGAATGACTGTCAGCAACACTGAGATCTCGCTCTATCGCTCTCATACACACCGAGACAAAAAATCCTGTATGTTCTGACTATGCAAACGAGATCGGTCTTTATCTAACTCTCACTGTCCATGCAAACAAAAAAGAAACTGGACAAACCTGTACTGGCTTTGATCCATGCATAAAAGGTCAACATGCACCTATTATGAATGACCAAAAAATCTGATCTGCCCTAATCCTGAAATGGCACAATGACTGAGTGTATTTTTCATGACTGTGAAAAATGTGTTTGTGGCACTGGTCGTAACTCAAGCCCAAACACAATTCAGCATAGCGCTGCATTAAAAACAGCATTAGCCAGCACAAGAGTGTGGATACTGCCACTGTTCGCCTCAAGCGCTTTCAGTTCTGTTCACTGAGTCATAAATGCTGCAGGCAGGAGGACAAATGTGCTTCACAAATCTGTTCCAGTGTTAAATCACCTGATTGGCAGGAATTTGTCAAAACAGCATCCACCACGAGCAGCGTGTCAAAACTCATTAATACGCCAGCGGGAGAGAAAAACGCTCTAAAGCGAAACCTCAAGAACTGGTTCGGTTCTATTCGTCACCAACTAACTTGTGGTTTGCAGATATGAGCCAGAAGTGAACTCTTAGCAAGGGCGTAAATGCAGTCGCAAATGCTTGTATAAACTTGACATGTGCACTTTTGTTATATGACGGTAGTAAGAAAAAACCTTGGTACTTACCATGTTACCTTCAAAAGTGTGTTGTTATTAGGGTGGTTAGCTATAAACATATTAAAAGCTTTGACTTTAACAGAATCTGATTTGACTACAGATCCAGTGTGAACAAGTGTAGACAAACACCTTGAGTGTTTTTGCACAAATTAATTGGTCCACAAGGTGGCAACAATATCTAGGGCTTTTTCACAGTTGAAAAAAAACAGAAGAGACAGAACGAAAAACTACTGGAGGTGAATACGAAGAATAGACTTTCGTGTTTATGAGCGCTTGTGTGGGTTAAGATATACACACAATTCTAGTTTAAATGAGTACAAAGACATTTTTAACCGTTCACAACTTCTGGAGAGATATAGCAGACACTGGACAAAGATGATATTTTCTAGTACACTCTAGTGTGTTGAGTTCACACATGCTATCAAATGGTGTATGGGCTACGTGTTTGGCTACTCACAGTATACTTTGGGCTTTTTTGCTGGGGTTTTCCAGGACCAGGATTAAGAACCACCGCAATACGATTAGAAAATAATAAGCATGAACTACAGGCACTAAAAGCCTCCGACGGACATGAACACACAAGCTAGTACAAATCCAAAACCCACTCTGAGATTTCAAAGAAATAACCGGCTGATTAAGCACATGCCACACATTGGCAACGAGCACTAAGCTCAGTCAAGGTCTGCCAATGCATTCCCTCTGTGCACAGCACATATCAGACTGCAGAAATCCCAAACGCACAAAGGAAAGCACATATTATTAAGCTCTAGGCAATATTATTGTCTCATTAATAATTTAATCAGACTGCTAGATCACAAAAAAAAAACCCAAAGCAGCACAAAATATAACCTGAAGCTATCAAAACGGAAACATTAAGTAATTATTTATCATTTAATCAACTGATAAATGAATTCCGATGGTAAGAACCGCACAAGCCTGAATCCAATCTATTTTAAGTCCTACTGGAATGCAAGTTCAACTAAAGCCACCACTCAAAGTGACCCCGGCAGCCCTGTGGTGTGATGCTCGAGCCGTTCCCAGAACTGCTATCAGGCTCTGCCATTATAATGCAAGACAGACAGTTTGTTTACCAGATTGGACGCAGAGGCCTCAGCGAAGGACAGTCCTCTGGGGATGATGATGATATGATCCTGCTCCTTACTGACACGAACCTACAAGTTTTAAAACACACAAATAAGTAGCTGTTTTTCCTCTCCTGATCAAGTTAGCTCAGGGTTTCTTCATCTATTCCAACAGGCATCCGGATACTTTGATATTTCCTTCTTTAGCACACCTGGTTAAGCTATTCAGCATGAGTGCAGATGCTGTAACTACAGCATTATGAAGACAAAAAGCATCTTTGTCCATTAACAGCCATTCAAAAGTAGACATGTATAATTTAATAATAACAATTTAATTTGATGATGAATGGGAAAGCAGATATCTTTCTCCATGTATTAAACTGGGAGTGTCTGATTAGTGGAACTATAATGTTTATCGCCTGCAGGAATGGATTGCGAAACCCTGGATTACACAATGTACATCATTCACTTTCACTTCCTTGTTCTACAATATTGACACCAAAAACAAGTATAATATTTAATCTGTGGCAGCGATATTAATTATAATATGCTGTGCCTTACTGTAACGTAACAGCTTGTCAAGTGGGCCCAACTGAACAGGTCCACTAGTCTGTAGAGGCAGGCCAGTTTGCAGCGGATCTGTTTCTCTCCCTTCACCATAGTACTGGACTCCATGCTGAACATGTCGTTTATTGGGGTCACCATGCGCAAACCTGGGAAATAAGAGCAACAAGGGACAATTCAAGAACAGGTTTGAACCATTTTATAAGATGGACTTCACTTAAAGATTTATTAGCCCACTTAAGCGCACAACTTGAAACTGACATTTCTATACTGCTGTCATGGGAAAATGGACAACAAACAGGTGTAATCGATACCTTGATACTAATCAAACTCGGACTAAAAGCAAGTGCTGTGTCCTGATTAACTGATAACACCTTGAGAGTGTCCATGAAACACTGATATGCCTGAATCTAATAAAGATGTTTTTAGTTAAGACTGATGTAGTTTATACAGCTAAAAACACTGCTGTAATCAATTTACCGTAGCTTATTTAGAACCTTGAGGGATTCTGGTCAAAGAACAGTAAGGAAATCGAATAATAGTTTTAAAAAGAAAAAAGAAAAAAAAAAAAAAAACTCAATTCAGCCATACAAAAGATCCAGCTACAATAAACACAGTCAGCACTTCACATCAAGAATACTCAGACTTTTCAGAATGGCAGTTTGTATATTACAGAACTCTAGTTGCAAAAACATTCTAGAACTCATTCTAGAGCTCCAGTTGATTACGCATTCCAAAACTCTTTCTTGAGTTTCACTGTTCCAGAACTCATTTCAGACCTCCAGTTATTACGAGTATCAGGAAATCATTCGCAAACGCCAGTATACTTTCCATTCCAGAACTCTTTCTTGAGCTCCACCTGACTAAACGTTCCAGAATTCATTGTTAAACTCCAGTTCACCAGAAACATTCATCCTTGAACTTCGTATGACTAAATGTTGCAAAAGTGTTTCCAGAACTCCACTTTACTAAACATTTCAGAAATCATTCTAGAGCTCCAGCTGACTTAACATTCTAGGACTCAACCTTGAACTCCAGTTGACTAAATAATTCAGCACTTTTTCTAGATCTCCACTGACTAAACACTCCAGAATTCAACTTTGAACTCCAGATGGCTAAACATTCCTGAACTCATTTCAGACTAGGGATGTGCGCGAAGACTAATTTGACTGTCGTTTAAACGAAAGTTTTGTATCCGACTAGAAGAAAAAACCTCTGTGCGTGCGTGTAGCATATATAATAGCCTATATTTGAAATACTTAAAATATGAATCACACTGTCAAATCCCTCAATGAATTCCGCTTGCCGCACATTTGCCTAGCGTTATCATCATTTCATTTTAGGCGGTCGTTAAAAATAAAAAAAAGAAGAGCATTACACTCAATGTCGGCCAAAGCATAGCTTATTCAAATCAGCTGGGGAAATGCAGAACAATGGAAAATCAATCAATAGCCTGACAGAATTCTTAATCTTCATATAACGTTAGCCAACATATTAAAACACAAGTCAAAAACAATAGGAAGGTTTATCAAGAAATAGCATTAAAACGGCTTTTAAAAATGTACTCCGTGTAGGCTATATAGTCTAAAAACAAAACGATGCAACAATGCCCATTTTACTTACTCAGACCATGCATTATTTGTTCAGTGAAATTATCAACGTGGTCTGGTGAAAGACGGGACCTGAGGCGATTAACAATAAAATTCCTGCACTTGAAAAAACGCGCTCGGCAGGAACTGAAGTCGCAGGCACGCAGAGATAACGAAAAGCAAGCCGATAGTTTCAAAAGCGCCTGGACATCCCGCACCACCACCGAAGTGGGTGTTCGTTAGAGGAATAGACTGCGCAGACGGGATCGCAGCACCAACGGGTTGTAGTGAATGACGTGACTTGACTCTAAGCTAACGCCTACGTGCCTGTATTGAATATGATTACGCATCGCTCCAGTACAGTTATTGTAAGACAATTTGACATTACACAGTTTACACAAAACTTTTCCGTTTCCTTCTAATTCAAAATAATCCCACACCTTCTCGTCTTTCGCATGGTCATTTTTGAACTCGCCGCAACTGACACGAAGAAAACGCATGTGAGGTCTGAGGTAAAAATTTAGTTTTATTTTTCAAACGTTTTATTTTAACTTATTTAAAATGTTTTAAAATGCAATGTTAAAATGACGGTAATTTGAATGATAAAATCATGTTTTTGTTTTTTTTTCTTTTTTCTGTCGTGTAATCGACTATTGTTTTCAGTGTCGACTAGTAGGAGCTGTACCGTTTAGTCGACTAGACCCGCACATCCCTATTTCAGACCTGCAGTTATTACAAGTTTCAGGAACTCCTGTTGATTAAACATTACAAAATTCTTTCTAGTGCTCCACTGGCTAAACATTTATACTTGATCTCCAGATGGCAAACATTAGGGATGGGTATCGATTCAGATGTCCCGATTCGATTAGATTTCGACTCGCAAGCTCTCGATTCGATTCTCGATTTTTTGATTACATTCAGTGAATATAGTTTTAATACAAATGCTATTGATATTTAAACAAAAAATTAACAGTAAACATCAGTTTACAAATGGTGAATTAATAAAAAGACATGCCTGTATTTGTAATCTATTCTTTTTTTTTTTTATAGGGTCATTTTTTAAACAATAATAGGGCCCTATAAAATGTTCTTAATTTTTATGGTAATCAGATGATGGTATAAAACATTAATGTAATTTATCCTTATCAAATGAAAATTAAATCCTTTTATTTTTTGGCAAACAAAGTGCTGCACAACAGAGGTTTACTGTTAAAATTAAAAAGAAAACAGATGTGATTGTTCCTTTAAAAATAAATATTTATTAATATTTATTAGCAGTAGTAGCATTGAGACTTAAGACTGCTAAATAGTAATATATTCTGACAGTTTCTTCACATTAAACTAAACTTTTATTTTGACCGGTTGCCGTGACGAACTTGCAGCTGCTGTGTATGTGAAATGACGTAGTTTTCAAATGATGTAGTTTTCTCAAATGAAACTGTAAAATGCTAATGAAGTGACTCTCAGAGCAGCTGGAGATGACATTTGTGTTCATATCATCATATAGTGAGACGGCAGAAGCTGAAAACACCGCGAGCGTCATCCGCGCTTTAGTATGTGTGTAGTAAACAAAACAGTGCGCCGCGCCATCCGCCATTCATTGATTGCGAAATCATGGCGCCTTATGCGTGATATCAAATGCTTCTGCAGATTTATAGTATTACTTATAGCATTTCACCGGAGCATTGCGAATCACACGTATGGCCATGATAAGCGCTGAATGAATGACAGGCTTTCTGTTGTAACATCGCGCAAGGTAAATAAGGGTGACATCTAGTGGAGAAGATTAATGATAAGATTCATGTTAATCAGACCTTGTTTTAAATGTGTGCTGAAATAAATACCGGAACAGATCGATTCGCAGCATTTGAGAATCGATATCGAATCGACGTCATTTAAAAAAAAAACAATTAATCGGAAACATTTTTTTTTTGCCCAGCCCTACTAAACATTCCAAAAGTGTTTGCAGAACTCCACTTTACGAAACATTGCAGAACTCATTCTAGAGCTTCAGTTGACTAAACATTTTGTAACCCATCTTTGAGCTCCAGTTAACTAAGCATTCCAGAACTCATCCTTGAACTTTAGATAGCCAAGTGTTCCAGAGCTCTTTCCAGAACTATACTTAAATGCTCCGGAACTCATTTCAGAACGCGTTATAGAACTCCAAGCTGGATAAATCTAGAGCTCAGTATACAGCGCAAGATTGAGAACTGCTGCTTTCAAAATCTCCACTGAACAGACCTCATATGTGCAAATGTGGACAGCCATTATTCAAAAACCACAACCATGACACATTTTAAATGGCCTGTTTTTGCAACTTTGTTTACATAAATGGTGTGGGCAAAGAGAGGAGGGCATTGCCATTTATATCATTTTTATATCTAAATAAACTATCAATGTCTTATTTTTAAATCTCATACCTTTTTCCATTATATGTTCTAGATTATGCCCTAGATCTGTGCATAGTCTACAGACACCTAATGAGATTTAGGCTATGACTTTGAATGTACAGTAAGCACTGAAAGGGGTTCACTGAAGTTCTGCTGACTAGTTCTGCATAGCAGAGCGCAGAGAGAAAACAGATACATGCGCGGAGGGGCTGGATGGGGTGATAAGGGAGGAAGAAGTAAGATGAAAGAATGCAAAGGCTTTCCTGAGTCGGCTAGTCATATTTCCTCCCTCAATGTCTGTTTATGGGAATATCTGTTATTTAGCGACCTGTATAACTCTGAACAGGTGGAGGAGTGGGGCAGTCTGGGACATCGGAGGACTGGAGGAATGTTGCAATCTGTTCCTGTGTAGATGAGCCACACTATGGTGATACTCACTGAGGGGGGAGGTGGAGAAGCCGGCTACGGAGCTGGCCATGAAGAAGTCTGCGATCTGCTGCAAAGCGAGCAGTCCTGTGGGGTCGTTCCCCTTGTTCATCTGTTCCTGGATCAGTCCCTCTAGCTCATCCCTAAACGCCTGAAAGAGAAAGAAAACACGAGATTAGAGATGACTCACACGCTGTAATGAGAGATGGACACAGAGCTGTAATCCTCTCACGCTCCTGCATGTTTAAACCCTCTGTACTCCATTTTTTTCCACTTGTATCTTGACAGCTAGTTAAGTCTATTAACCCATAGGCCTACTCCACTTACCCTGAACAGCTGGAGGAGACTCTCGACAGAAAAACAAGGTAGTGAAGGATGAAAGTACCATCTTAAATTCTTTGGGTACATCCAAAATTCATTTTCAGTCCACTGGAACAGTTTATTTTCAATGTTTAGGGAAGGAAACCATCTGTAACAGGTTTTAGAAGCAGTACAAAGCTCTTCTGTATGATGCACTGTCATTCTGCACACCTGCTCGGAGTCTCGATTGAATCTCAAATGAATCACAGGATAAACAGACACTGACAGAGCACTCAAACTGACACAATGCCTCAGTTACGATGACTGCTCATTCTTACTTACAGAGACTCACAGACTAGTCTTATTTACAGGTGTGAGTAAGTGTCTGGATGTGAACTGAATGTACAACTTCACTCGGCACTGTATTTGAGATTGGTGAGATTCTAACATGCAAACAGTATGCAAAGATATATATGCATATCAGAAAAAGGAAGGTAAACTAGTCTCAGCAGGCACGCTCTGTTCACTGATGGCCTGATGTGTTTTGCACATAAAATGTCAAGCAGTAGTAAAAATCTGGACTGATTGGTTTTATGCAAACTGCAGGTACTGGGATAAATAATGGCTTTTTGAAGTTGTTTATATGGTACTGGATTGCAATAAGCATCAAAGAATCACTAGATTTGCCAGGTTATTGGCATCAAATCTTTGAGAGATACTTTAAGGCACTTAGAAAAAGTTAACATTCACAAATAGAAATATTTTGCTTTGAGCGTAAAATAATAATGATAATAATAAAAAAAAATAGACAGTTTGATTTCTGCCAATTTTTTCTGTTTACCATAGAGATTTTTTTTTTTTACCCATATTATAGTGGCAACAAATATTTGAGATAATTCTTCCTACAGACAGTAATAAAAAACAAAATGGTCGTTTCACAGGTCTAATTGGGTCATTCTTGGCCAGAATTTCATGCAAGTCTGGCTATGCAAGACTACAGGAAAACAAATGTAGATTCCTCTTCAAATCTACGGATTCTCTGTCCATTCTGGGATGTGTTTTTGGCTGATCTGTGTGTCCAATAAAGCACTTTAACGTCCCACCGCAGGGGCATCCTAGTGCGCACCACAGGTCTAGAGAGACTGAGCTAAAGAAAGTCTGATTTCCATAGTCACAGTCGCCAAGCAGCCACAGGGAAATGGGCATGGTGTTTGTGTATCCATGTGCGGGCCGTCCCTGCCAAACTCTCAAGTGACTTTGTGTGTGTGTTGGTCAGTGAAGTTCGCTGGGGCTTGATTTCCTAATCTAGGGTTAAACAAACTACACGGGAAGCAAATTAAATTGGCCCTCAAGTTTGTTTGGATTTGAATGAGAGCCTCATTCATCAAGCATACACTGAAAAAAAAGAGAAAGAAAGAAGCCATAAATTCATGACGTTAATGCCCACGTAATAGCCCAAAAAGTAAAAGTAAAGCACATTAACAGCTGTTCGGTGACATTTTGCCCAAATTTCACTGCAGCCTTAAAGGGTTAGTTTACCCAAAAATGAAAATCCTGTCATTAATTACGCACCTTGTCATTCCAAAGACCTACGCTAAGACCTTCGTTCATCTTTGAAACACTAATTAAAGCTTTCTGATAGGGCTGTGTATCGTTTAAAAATTTTCGATATCGATACCAATACCGGTTCCTGAACGATACTTTTTCAATACCAATTTTATGAAATAAATTTTAACTAGATTACATTATCTAAAAAAAATAAAACTTTGGTTTTATTTTTCAGCTTGTTGATGTTTATACAAACTCAAAGGCTCATCTCCTGAGCCACTGCACAAAGGAACAAAATGTAACCAACACAATAAATCAGTGCAAAATAGTTTTAATAAAGCTCAAATAGTCTTCAGTTTACACATCTGTTAGGCTACATTTACACTAGTTAGTGTTCGTTTTAAAATGCATAGCTCAGACAGAATCATGATTTCTATTTATTTTCCACTGATTTACTGATGAGCATTAGCAGCTTCCAGCGCTGTCTGCTTGTGTTCTCTCTTCCATGATCGCTGCTCTGATAACATATTTAATTTCAGCAGCATTACATGGCCAAATCACACATTAGACGGCAATCGGAAGTTATTACAAACACTCAATGGTGGTTTAAAGTGAGTTTTGACTAAAAGCGGAATATAAATCATATCTATTGTCTTATGTAGCATGATGCTACAGTTTGCATGAATGGTCACATAACAC